CCACCCAGGGGCGTCGGGGGGGAACCCCAGGAAGACGCAGAGAGAAGCGCGAGGGGACAGCTTGTCCGCAGACAAGTCGCGGACAAACGCCCGAGATCCCCAGACCCGGAACGCCGACGCATCGCCAACCTTCCCCGTCCACAGCAGGGCTGGGGAGGTCTCGGGCCTGGAGACCCTGGGGTGGAGGTTGATCTGATGCGCTGCGTACCTGACCGCAAACGGCCACAGAAAATGGGGGGCAGCCGCATGCATCATGGACGTACGGGCGACGTCCATGACCATTCCAATGCGGCGCTCAGCAATCCCATTTTGCTGCGGAGAGTCTGGAAGCGTGAAGGACTGGCGGATGCTTCGCGCACGACAGTAGGTACGTAGAAGGGTAGAGGAGAACTCTCCGCCTCTGTCCGAGTGCAGACGCAACACAGGAAAGTCGGAGCCAAAGCTCTGCCTGAGCTGAAGACGAGCTGCGCGGATCCAGTCGATCAACACCTTAGTGACCTCACCCTTGCTGCGCAAGGGGAAAACTGTGGTGTAACGCGAGTAGTCGTCAACAACGAGCAGGAAGTAGCGCTCCTGGGCCTGTCCAAGGACGCGGGCTGGGCCCCACACGTCCATGTGAAGCGTCTGCAACGGGGCCTCTGTCGGAGGAAACTGGGAGGAGTGAGGGGCAGCACGCTGGCGCCCCTCGACGCAGGGGACACAGGCAGGGCCAGGGCCCTGAGGAAGGGGAGGGAGGGACCGGGGAAGACCAGACACAAGAAGACGGGAGGCCATACCTCTGAGCCGAAGCAGAGAGGGGTGGCCAAGGCGGTGGTGCCAGAGGAGGGTCTCGTGAGACAGACAACGACACGAATAGGGGGCAGACTCAGGGCCAGACCTGGACGCTGCAGCAAACACCTGACCAGACGAAGGGACCCTACCAGACTCAGGACCTGGAGGAGAAGCAGTGGTCAGTGTGTACAGGCTCGACCCCGGCCGATGTGTAAACGTAGCCAGGTGGCGACCTGTGCTAGCCTCCGTGCAGTGTGTCACCCGCTGACGAGCAGGAGTGAACTGGTGGACACCCACATCCTGTAGGTCAGCACCACTCACCAGGTTTGTTGAGAACGAGGGGAGGTAGAGACCAGACAGGGTGCCAGAGGGGGCCGCCGGACACGGAAGGACCGTGGAGAAGCGAGACAGGACAGGCCCCCCAGAGGGGTCAGCCAGGGACACCGCAACCGGCCGACTCAGCGGCGTGAGAGTGGTGCGGTCCCGAAAGAAGGAGCGAGACGCTCCAGAGTGAAGGGTGAAGGTGTGAGAGGCCGAAGCCGACACAGTACCTGAGAGGGCAGACTCACCAGTACCTGAGAGCACAGACGCACTGGCACCTAGAGCAGCAGCCTCACGAGTACCTGACGCAGTAGTACCAATGCCCGGGTCGGGGGGGAAACACCGGTAACAGTCATCCTCATCACTACCAGTCACAACATACATAGCAGAAAGAATAGCATCAAATTCAAGATCATAAATAGCTACACCAGCCCTAGACAGCTCCCCCCAGCGAGGGATCTCAGCGGCCTCCGGAAACTGCTGACGCCAGGCGTCGGTCAGGCGGCCAAAGCAGCGGCGGGCTGTGTGGGTGCCTCCACACCTCTCCCCCGCACGGTCGCCGGTGCGAAGAACGTAGGGGCAGGGACCAAACGCACCACCACGCTGACGCTGCAAGTACCACTCACGGAGCTGCTGAGGGGCGGGGACGGTGCGAGAGCGCTGCTGCTGTTGTGGCTGCTGCTGCTGTTGCTGCTGCTGGCGCTGACCACCCCCAGAGCTGCTCCGCTGAGACGAGCCACCCCGACCCCCGCCGCCACCGCCACCCCCGCCTCCACCGCCACCCCCGTCTCCACCGCCACCGCCCCCACCGGCACCCTCACCCCCGCCTCCTCCGCTACCTCCTCCGCCGCCACCTCCGCCTCCACCGCCTCCACCAGTACCTCCACTCCCGCCACCACCTCCACCGCCACCCCCACTCCCCCCGCCACCCCCCACCTCCCCCGCCACCGCCCCCTCTAGCTCCACCCGCTCCCTTGCCCCCTTTGACCTTGCCATTGCGGCGTCTACCGCTGGGGGCAGACGCCGCACCGACCGACTCAAAACCAGCGAGGTCGGCCGCAGCGGCAGAGGCGACAGAGGGCAGCAGGGGGGAAGGAGAACACCCCTAAAAAATGGGGGTGCGAGGGTCACCCCGAGAGGCCCCTACAGCGACGATGCTCTTCTCAGCCGCTAGCAGGGACTCCTCAAGGAGGTCGACAGTGAGGGTGGTGGGACAGACAGAGAGAAACTGGTCCCTAACTACACGAAGGGACTCAGGGAGACGAGTGACGAGAAAGTAGAGAGTGATGTACATGGGTGGAGGGTTTGCGGCGCGGAACTCAGCAGGAAGGGCAGCGCGGTAGCGAGCGTCACTAGCGCGGAGGTGGGTAACGAGGTCAGCAACAGTGGGAAAGGCAGCGAGGTCAGGGAAGAGAAACGGTAGCATGAGGCGGCTAAGCGTAGCGGAGGAAGGGGAGGAGTAGCGTGCAACTACAGCGTCGTACAAGGTCTGAGCGGTCTTGCACTGACTAAAGTGGGCACGCTCGAAGGAAGGGAGGTGGCGACGCACAGCAAGACGTGCAGCAGCATCGCGGGTCGCCCACTTGGAGCGAACGGCGGGGTCAGCATCAGCAGGAGGGGCAGGGACAGCGCCAGAGACAAAGTCAAAGAGAGAGACCTCATCTATCGCATCACACAGTAAGTACAGCTGCAGGTCCTCAATCCAGACTGCAAAGTCAATGGCTCTACCCTCAGCGTCAAAAGCTAGGACCGTGGGGGTGGCCATGACAGCAGCTGACAGTCTCACCGGGCAGGAAAAGTCGGGTAGGTCAGCGGCACAGTAACACAGCCCAGGAGCAGCAGTGGTTCCACAGGAGCAGGAGCGCGGCTCCTCTGGCGGCTCGGGCGGCTCGGGCGGGTCGGGCGGCTCGGGCGGCTCGGGCAGCTCGGGCGGCTCGCGCGGCTCGGGTGACGCAAGGGCTCACGGGCGGCGCGGGCGGCTGCACGGGCGGCTGGGGCTGCTCACGGGCGGCACGGTGGGCGGCTGCACGGGCGGCTGCACGGTGGCGCGGCGGGCTGCAGCACGAGCGGCGGGGCAGACGGCGGGCCGTAGCGGGGCTGTAGCGGGGCCGACGGCGGGCTGTAGCGGGGCCGAGGGCGGGCCGACGGCGGGCTGTAGCAGGGCCGGCAGCGGGCTGTAGCGGGGCCGACGGCGGACCGACGGCGGGCTGTAGCAGGGCCGGCGGCGGGCTGTAGTGGGGCCGACGGCGGGCGGTAGCGGGGCCGACGGCGGGCTGTAGCAGGGCTGACGGCGGGCTGTAGCGGGGGCGACGGCGGGCTGTAGCGAGGGCGATGGCGGGCCGACGGGGTCTAGGCGGGGCCGACGAGGGGCCGTAGCGGGGCCTAGGCGGGCCGACGGGGCCTAAGCGGGGCCGACGCGGGGCCGTAGCGGGACCTAAGCGGGGCTGACGAGGCCTAAACGGGGCCGATGCGGGGCCGTAGTGAGGCCTAAGCGGGGCCGACGAGGCCTAAGCGGGGCCGACAGGGCCTAAGCGGGGCCGACGAGGGGCCGTAGCGGGGCCTAAGCGGGGCCGAGTGGGCCTTAGCGGGGCCGACTCGAGGTCGTAGCGGGGCCGACGGGGCCTACGCGGGGCCGACGAGGCCTAAGTGGGGCCGATTAGAGGTCTAAGTGGGGCCGACGAGGGGCCTAAGCGGGGCCGACGAGAGGCCTAAGCGGGGCCGACGAGGGGCCTAAGCGGGGCCGACGAGGGGCCTAAGCGGGAGCACGGCGGTAAGGGCGACACGGAGGGTCGCTAAAAAAAAAAAACGCGCGCCTCGGGGCGCGCTTCGGTGGGCCCTAGGAACAGTCCCTAGGAAGGGACCTGCTCTGATTCCATGAGAAGATATGAACGAGAATGGAATGACTATGAACGAAGTGAGTACAAATAGGAAACCCTAATTTGGGTTGTACCCCGTATGGGATACCCCACTATAGCCTACAGAAACAAGTAAGCTATATGTTCTGACACACATCAGTGTAGACCCAAAATTTCACCCTTGTAATCAGTGTACCGTAGAAGGGTAAATTACACTGCAAACCTGAGCCCTGGTTCCCGTATTCAATAACGAGTTTTTCCCTGAAGCGAGTTCCACCCCCCCCCCCCCCCCCCCCCCCCCCCCCCCCCCCCGCCCCCCCCAGTTCCCCCACCCCCCCTTTTTCCAGTAACCCAGGATTCCCGAATCCCGATTGCCAACTGGCGAAACCGTAATTTCGGCCTTGACAACGCATGTGCTGGCTCAAAGTGGGCCACCATAGGCCAGACTTGCGGTTTCTCCAGGGTTTGTCTTTTAAGAACACTGATGCGACAGGGTAAATTTTTGAAAACCGACATAAACCCTGATGTAACAGGGTTTTCAGAAGGGGTCACACTGATAATCATAAGGGTAGTCAAAATCCAAAAATTAGCCCTGTATTGGACGCGAGCGCAGAGCAATGCGCTGTCAAAACAACTGCTCATTGGAAATCGGAATTTGAAAACACGGCGCTCTGTCATCTCCTCGTACCGTACCACAACCCACAGTGATACATCCATCAGTCTCTGAGACATAATTCCTTCAGACATATTTTCATATGTCTTTGTTTCAAACGGGCCGAATATTCTAGCAAGAGCCTTCAAAGATAGAGCTTCCAAACACATCTGTGGATCGAGAGTCAGGAGCACTTGCGTGATGAACAAGCTTACCGCAAAAGCTATGGTGTATTCCCCTTTCAAGACCTAATGAACCTGGGTGGGGGGGGTCATTGACTATGAGAGCATGGCTACACACACAGGTGACCGACCGACCGGCTTATAACCACCTACTACATGGCACTCACAACAAACAGCCTACACTCTAAATGGTATAAAAAAAAAATGGTGTACATTAGTTTAGAATGACGCGACCATAGCTCCGCTTTCACCACCAGTGCTGCTGCTGCTACTGCTGCTGTCCCCCAGGTGACCCCCCAGGTGGCCTATCCCGATTGGTCCACTGCTGCTGCTGCTGAGCTTGGCACTGGAGGGTGCTTGTCCATAGCACCTTTGAGCTCTGCACACCAATCAGCAATGGATGCCAGACAGTGGGGAATGGGCATAGGGCATTGCGCAGAGGGCATTGCGCAGAGGGCATTGCGCATAGGGCATTGCGCAGAGGGCATTGCGCAGAGGGCATTGCGCATAGGGCATTGCGCATTGGACACACAGCAGTCGAAGATGGTCAGAACAGGGTTGGTAAGTTAGATTTCTCAAATTGGTAACTGAGAATTCTCAACAAGCAAAGTTGTCACTTGGAACGTGCGAGGTACCTTTGAATGTGGTTGAGAATGATCAAGCGAGGGCCGGGAGGGATCTTGACCTCCTGCAGTGCACTGGGAGAGGGCAGACAGGAGGAGAGGCAGGGAAAGAGAAGCAGGGAAAGAGAGGCAGGGAAAGAGAAGCAGGGAAAGAGAGGCAGGGAAAGAGAAGCAGGGAAAGAGAGGCAGGGAAAGAGAAGCAGGGAAAGAGAGGCAGGGAAAGAGAAGCAGGGAAAGAGAGGCAGGGAAAGAGAAGCAGGGAAAGAGAGGCAGGGAAAGAGAAGCGGGGAAAGAGAAGCGGGGAAAGAGAAGCAGGGAAAGAGAAGCGGGGAAAGAGAAGAAGGGAAAGAGAGGCGGGTGGGTGTTGGGATCTTGTGTTGTGATATCACAAATCTCCGATGTCAAGTTGAGGGAATGAGAGGATGGGAGAGGCCTTCACTGAATCAAAGCATGGACCCAGATTACAGCACGTGGGACCAAATGGTCCCCAGTTTGAGCACTGGAGTTGAGGTCAACTCAGTCGCCTCGCCCAGGCACGAGCCAGGGAAACCGCTTTGGTCTGGGCATGGAACCTCGAACGAGGATTCCACCATTCACGCCCTAAGCTTCAAGCAGCTGACCTGACCTGGGCGAGGTGATGGGCTGATGACCCACCCACCTGTCATTCAACAGTGGCAACGTGCGGTCAGTGGGCAGCCTCTTCTTGAACTTCTTCTCGTACTTGCCCAGCCCCAGCTGTCACTGCAGCACCTGTCATCGGGCACCCACCCACCTGTCATTCAGGAGCGGCAGCGTGCGGTCAGTGAGGAGCCCCTTTTTGAAGTTCTTCTCGTACTTGCCCAGCCCCAGCTCCTGCAGCATTGCCTTCGACTCCACGTACTCTGACGGCACTGCGTCGCCCTCGCCTGAGAATGCCTTGCCCAGCTGTGCTCAGGGGAGGTGGGAGGATGGGGGGTGGGGGGAAAGGAAGGGTAAGTGCACGGGGGCTTCTCCCATGCCCCAGTGCCTGATGGATTGAGTGTGGCGGAGGAGGGGGTTTGCCTGCAGCATGGCCTTCGTGTGAACTCTGTTTACACGGAGGAGTGGGTTTGCGTGCAGCATGACCTTCCACTCCATGTGCTCCAGCGGCGCTGCATCACCCTCGCCTGAGAATGCATTGCCTAGCTGCAGGCAGATGGGAGAGAAGGGGAGAGGGGGCGCATGAAGGGGAAGGGAAGAGCGTGTGTGTGCATAGGAGTGCGCCTGCAGCATTGCATTGCCTTCCACTCCACGTATTCCGTCGGCCGCGTCGCCCTCTTCTGAAAACGCATTCTCTGCGGATGGGAGAGAAGGGAGGGGAGGGGGAGTATGTGCACAGCAGTTTGCTGTCGTGATCTCGCCTGAAAACGCCACATTCACACACCCACCCACCCACACCTGCACCCCCTCACCCCACACACACCTACACTCCCCCACCCCACACACACCTACACTCCCCCACCCCACACACACCTACACTCCCCCACCCCACACACACCTACACTCCCCCACCCCACACACACCTACACTCCCCCACCCCACACACACCTACACTCCCCCACCCCACACACACCCACCCATCCACTCACACACACATACACCCTTCAACCCTCCAACACAGCCACACACCCCTCCCCTCGACCCCCATACACACACATACACACACACACACACACACATACACACACACACACACACACACACACACTACTCCAAAGGCGCGCACCTGGAAGAAGGCCCCTTGGAAGATGGCAAAGCCGACGCCCGTGGAGAGAGCATTCAGCACCGCGTTGCCTGCCGGCCCGCCCACCCCGCTCACCACCGAAAACGCTATCCCTGACCCGAAGGCCGCCACCGCACTGAGAGAAGGGGAGAGGGGGGGGACGAGGAGGTAAGGAAAAAGAGCAGGGAGGGAATGATGGGGGGAAGACGAGGGCTCAGGAAGTGGTTCGCCCACCCCGCCCACCACCGAGAACGCTATCCCTGACCCGAAGGCCGCCACCGCACTGAGAGCAGGGGAGAGGGGGGGGACGAGGAGGGGAACGTGGGGAGGGAAGGTAAGGAGCAGGAGAGGAGGGATTACGGCTGGCCCCCGCCCACCACGCTCGCCACCGAGAACGCTATCCCTGATCCAAACGCTGCCACCGCACTGCAAGGTGGGGAGGGGACGGTGAATGGGGATGTGGGGAGGTAAGGGCGGCACGAAGAGGAGATGCATGGAGAGGGGAATTAGGAGGCATGGAGGGGGAAGGAGAAGGCAGCATTGCAGACTGGTGGTTTCTTATGGAAAGAGAAACGTGCAGTTGAATCAGATATTGTATCCACTGCCACGCCTCAGTGCCTCCATGCCTTCCATCCTGCCCCTCTCAACTCAAACGCCCCGCTCTGCTCTCCCTACCCGTCATCGACTGCCCTGCTCTCTGCCTGCCTCGCCCTCCTCTCTCTCGGTTCCTTGCATGGCAGACAGACAGACAGACAGTCGGTCTCCAGACAGACTACTTGAATCAGATGTCTTTCTCGTGTCATGGCAGACAGACAGAGAGACAGTTGGTTCGGCATCGCCTTATGAGGCGCCTCAAAAGGCTTTTATCTCACGCCCCTTAGGAGCCAGTCGGTTTGGCGTCACAATCAACAGCTGGCTTGCTCATGCGTTTCTCGACCGTTTCTTTTGTGACTCCCGCCACTTCCTTTTCTTTCCTTTTACTCGTTTCTCGTCGCGTATCACCCTCATTCTATTGAGCCGCCTCAAAAGGCATGTCCTTGCACCCCTCACCTCCTTTCACCTACCACTTCTGCAAGTGCCCACCACCAATTCCCTTACCTACCACGAAACCACTCCTCCCTCTCCTCGTCTGCAGCACCTCTCACCTCCACCTCACCTCTCACCTCGACCCCCTCCCACCTCGTCACCTACCCCCTTACCCGTCTCCACCCCTTTTCACCGCGCACCTCCTCTGCAGATCCAGTCCCCACCCTTCACCCCTTATCCATCTCCACCGCATCCCACCCCTCACCTCGTCTGCAGGTCCTCGACGCCGCCGCGGGCGCGCTTCATGGCGGCCGTGATGCCCGCGTTCACGCCCGTCATCACCGCGAAGTTTCGCGCCTGCGTCCACGGCCCCCCTGTGAGCGCCTGTACAAACACACACACACCAGAGCCAGGCCGCGGCGTGGAGGGGTGGAAAAGGGGATGGTGGGTGGGTGGGCTGCACGCACACACCAGGACGGTTGGCACGGTCAACATGTGTTTTGACGCGCCTCACAAGTCGTCCACGCGCCCCCTGTGGGCGCCTGCACGCACACACCAGGACGGTTGGCACGGTCGACATGTGTTTTGACGCGCCTCACAAGTCGTCCACGCGCCCCCTGTGGGCGCCTGCACGCACACACCAGGACCAGGGCACGAGGGAGGGGTGGAGGAGGGGGTGGTGGGTGGCACGGTTGATGTGAGACGAGACGATTCTTGCGTCGGATGAACAATCGTCTGCACACACACCAGGCCACGAGGGTTCGAAAAGCCGGTCCACACAGCCTGCTACGCCACGAATCCCTTTTGAGTCATCTCGCTGTAGGCAGCGTGAACCGCCATACTCCACCCCTCGTGGTCACTCTAAAGTCATCTCGATACAACGACGCACGATCCCTTTCGAGTCGACTCGAATTCATCTCGCAGCCTACTGCGCCACAGATCCAAACGACCCACGGGAGGCAATCCCAGCATTGGAGGGCCAATTAAGTGGGGCTGAAGAGCGGTATCTGCAGCTAAGAACGACGCTGCTTAGGAAGGTGCGACGGGGAAGGTGCGATGGGGAAGGTTCAGGGGTTAGCGACGTGATCGACGGCGGCAGCACGACGGACAGCAGTAGCACCGCTGTCCTTCGGATGGGCTGCTGTGCGCGCGGGGTTCGACGCTCTGCGACTGGATTGTTGTGCGACAATGTTGATGTGCAAAAATGTCATTGCGCGACGCTAGCGTTGAAACGTACGAAGTCCGCTGGCTTTGTGCAAGTCTTTTTGTACATGTTTTTTTTTCAGATTCGCGAAAACCAGTGAATTCGAACCGGCGGATCCGAACCAACCACCAGGCGACACGTCAAAGGGTTTTGTCATCAATGCGGCTCCGGCATCCGCAATATGATGAGCAACAAGGCGCAATCGCTCCCGAAATACGCGTCAAAGCCGCCGGCAAATGAACGTCCATGCCACGCCCAACGTCACGCGCGCATGGCGCCACGAGCATCAGAGGCTGCATGTGAGTCGCCTTATATCCACGCTGCTTCTAGCCTCTTGGATCCAGACACAACTCTGCGCGAAAACCAGATCTGGCTTCTCAAGGCGCACTATCAAGGATCCGCTTCCCTCCGTCGCTCCTCCAGTAACAGTGGGCGATCCAAAACCTGACCCGATTTCAGAGATTAAATGAGCGACTCGCCTGCACGTCGAAGTCGCTAGAAAACTATCCAACCACACTCGACCACACTGAATCGACCTCGCAACGCACCTGCATTTGCTTCATCGACGCCGCGGCTTCCGGCGTCATTCCCGGCATGGTGGCCGGCGACGGCATGCTGCCGGCCGCCTCCGAGGTCAGGCTGCCCATCATCGCGCCGATCGCGCCGCCCTGCAGCGCGCTCGCCGCCGCCACGATCGCCACCTCCACGGGCGGCGGCTGGCGCGCGACCCACGCCTTGGCGCGCCCTTCGATCTCCTGGTACTTCGCCTGAAGCTGCCCGAGCACCATCGCGCCGACCGCCGGGAGAAGAGATTCGAGAGAAATTCGGTGAGAGGAGATTTGAGAGAAATTCGGTGGGGAGAGAGATTCAAGTGAGAAGATCCGGGGAAGACGATTTGGTCGCGACGATTTGCTTGGGACGGGCGGATCGGAAAACAGACGACGCGGGAAGGGAGGAAAGGCAACGCTGTGCGGCGAGGCGAAGCGGGGAGTGAGGCAGGAAAGGTGTTGTTGGGGTTGCGAGCTGGTTGTGAGAATGATTTCTGTCTGTTCGATGGTTCAAGAATGAAAGTTCAAGCACGCGGTTGAACGGGACTGGCTTACAAGGGGCAGGCGGGCGAGCGACAGGTGTGATATGACTGGGTGAAGTGGGCGAGCGACGCGCGGGGGGCAAACGGGGAAGGGGAAGGGGAAGGGGAAGGGGAAGGGGACAATTAGGCTGACGTGTCCGCGAGAATTGGCGGGAAACTTCCGCTGAAATACACATGGAAGGTGCAAGGGAAAAGATCCATGGAACGCCGGCTTTGGTATTGAGCGAACGAGGATTACACTATCGAGGTAAACACAAGTGTGTAAAAGTAGGAATTCATCTTTAGTTACTACAGGGTTTAGGGCTCTCTGATCAGATCAGATTATGAGACAGGCTGCCAAGTTTCTCTCAGTCCAGCTAAAACAAGGCTGACCACTTGCAGGTTTTCCAAAGCTTAAAGTCATTTTCACAGGCTTTTAGGCAGGCTAGATCCCGCAAATTTCATATACTGTACCATTTGAGCATAAGCGGAAATCTTTCAAAGAGGTTTCCCTATAAATAACAAATAGTGATTCTACGCTAACTAGGTGGATTTCCAACTTTTGAAATTAGGGGGGAATAGTTCCTACTTCCCCAGGCAGTGCAGCATGATGGCATTTTGCGCATGCATGCGGTTTTCAGCTTGAGGGAAAACAATGGAGTAAGGAGCCTCCATAACCCCGTCTGACACCTCCACCCCCCTCTCCGCTGGTAGGCAGTGCATAAACAAACAGTCCTTGCCGGCGCGCGCCATCATCGCTTCATCCACCTGGCAACAATCATCGGGTCAAGGCGATAGAAGAGTTTTGATGAGGGGGAAACCATCAAACAGATTTGGTCAGAAACCACGCAAGCACGCACATGCACACACACCCTACCATGCGTGCCCTCCCTCCCCCCAACGCACCTGGAAGCCTTGGAAAGCGGTTTTCCTCGCCTCAGCCTGCTCCTTCTGCCCCATGCTCGCCCACACATCCGTGTACACCACGTTGCTGCCCCTCACCCCCTCCACCAGATCATTCGTAATCTTTTTCATGCTGCCCCTTTCCCCCACCCTCCCTTCCTCCTCCCTCATACGTTCTCTGTCTCCCTTCCCTCTTCCTCCCTCCCCTTCCCCTCCCCCCCACGCACCTGGAAGCCCTGAAAGGTCTTTTTCCGCGTCTCAGCCTCCTCCTTATACCCCATGCTCGCCCACACGTCTGTGTACACCACGTTACTCCCCTTCACCCCCTCCACCGGGTCATTCGTGATCTCGATCGTGCTGATCCCTGCTGCTCTCGCTCGCTCCACGGTGGCGGCATCGGGCTCGAAGCCCTTGGGGCAGACGCACACGAAGTGCATGGGGATCACTGCTGCCAGGCGCAGCCAGCTGTGCACTATGTTGTTGCCATCGCCCACATAGGCCACCTGTGGAATGGGAGTTGAGGTTGGGAAGAGGATGGAGTTAGAGTTGTATGGGGGAACGGGTGTGGAGAGGGGAGGAGAGGAAGCAGACCAAGTGCATGGGGATGAGTGCGGCCAGGCGCAACCAGCTGTGCACAATGCTGTTGCTGTTGCCCACGCATCCCATCGCACTCACCTTCATCACTTCAATCTGCCCCAGGTGTTCCATGATGGTGAGGGCATCCGCCATGAGCTGGCACGGGTGGTTGTATTGAAATAGCCTTATCATTGCCTACCTGAACCCTTTCCCACGTCCATTGCATGTGCTCAGTGCTCACCACTCGTCTCACAATCTTGCCATTCATGACATTGACTCACACAAGTGATTACCCCTTCCCATCGCACTCACCTTCATGCCTTCGATCTGCCCCAGGTGTTCGATGATGGTGAGGGCATCCGCCATGATCTGGCACGGGTGGTTGTAGTCCGTCAGCCCATTCACCACGGGGATGCTTGAGTACTTGGCCAGGTCGATGATGTCCTGTGGGGGATACAAAGGGGGAAAGGGGGAGTCAAGAAGAGGGGAAGGGGGAAGATTTTATGAGACGACTAAAAAAAAGGACTGAGCCTGTTCACCACAGGGATGCTCGAGTACTTGGCCAGATCGATGATGTCCTGATGGGGTAAAAGGATTGAAGGGGGAGTCAAGAAGGGGGGAAAAGGAGGATAGTTTTGATACGTCTCACGAAAAGTCAAGCTTATTTTCACCACAGGGAGAGCTTGAGTGCTTGGCCAGATCGAGAATGTCCTGCAGGGGCGAAAGCTGGATAAGCGGGAGTCAAGGAGGAGCGAGAGGGTTGGGGAGGGGAGCGAGAGGAGGGGCTGCGGGAGAATGAAGATGAACACAATCACAGCAGGCCGTCAGCCAGTTCCCCACGTAAAGATGCCCCAGTACCCGCTTATCATGTGGCCAAAGTCCCGCGTTTCTTTGCGCTTCCCTAGCTGGATGGTGTTTTTTGAGTCGCCTCAACAGACGTGTACCCTGGTGGTGTGCAGAGAGCTTTGGTTCGTTTCAGATCAGAACCATCCAGCCAAGAGGAGTGTGCCAACCGTACCTGGCGTGCAAAGAGGCGGGCCATGACGATATCATTTATGCACTAATAATCAGGTGGCTGATGTTCCTGTGATCAAGAATTGCTCTTGAGACACCTCAAATCCAACAAGGAGTGTGCCAGACGTACCTGGTGGGCAAACAGCCGGGCCATGATGATATCATTGTACCCGCTGATGACGCGGCTGATGTCCCGCGTCTCCTCGCGCTTGCCCAGCTGGATGGTGTCGGGGCCCAGGTAGAGCGCGTGGCCGCCCAGCAGGAAGAAGCCCGACTCGAAGCTCACACGCGTGCGCATGGAGGGCTTCGTGAATATCATCGACATGGTGTGACCCTGGGGGTGGGAGGGAGGGGGGAAAAGGTTTATGACATGATGTCACGCGTGTATGGAGTGGCAAGTCAGGAGGACGGGGGAGGGGGAAATGGATGTTGAGGAGGACGAGCCGAGCGGCTGAACTTGGCGTATGGGGGGGCAAATTGGACAAGGGTTGGCCTTCACATGATAAACACTTACAGGACTTGGAAGACATGTGATTTCCACTATGCGCATGTGATTGTGTACATATATGATTCCCCTCCTAGGATGAATGAGGTTGAGAGGTATAATGCAGTAGAGTGATCTCGGGACTAATTGACTGCGTTCTTTTCCTTATTGACAGGCTTGATCGAGGATGCATTCTAAGTTGACCGAAATACACCTATGTTTCAGGGTTCTTTTTTTAACAACCAAACACGCCCTGCAGCTCTGTAGTCAACTGACCTTGGGCTTAGGACTCTGAGGCGGCTTAAACGTTTCTGGAGTGCAACTCTATGGTGAACTGACTGACCTTAAGGGGCTGGTAGGAGCGATCGCCAGACTTGATGATCGCTTTCACTTCTTTGGCGCGGTTGAGGATGTGGAGGATAGTATCCTTATCGAAGTCGTCAATATGGAGGAAATGCGTGGGAGCAGCTGCAGCAGCTGCGGGAACATGGGTTTGAGGCAATGGTTGTGAGATGGCTACAGAAGAGTGATTTTCTTTGGTTGATTCATAAGGTACTAGATGACACTAGGAATGCAACGGACCAGATACAGAGAAAGGAATACAGAGTCAGCTTCTATGAAAAAAAGCCCTTTATGTATGCACGTACCTCGAACGGAAACTGATGATCTGGCAGGAGAACGAATGGCAAGTTTCCGCGAAGCAGCGGCGCGAGTCACAGGCATCTTCTGAAATTCGCAAAAACGACAATGCCAGACTGTGAGAAAGAAATGTGGAGCTTCACCTGCATTTCAGAATCTAAGAACAAGCCCTTTCAGATGTTATAGGTCCTTGAGCCTCAAAAGGAGAAGCAGAACTTTGAGCCTTGACGTGAGAAACAGAAGCTTGAGCCATGGGGTGAGCCCATGTTGCAATGCAACCAATCATTTGAGAGGAACCTTAAAACGCGTACCTTCAGGCCGCTCCATGTGTGTTTTGAGTAGTCTCAGAACAAAATGTTCTATGAGTAAACTCGGAACTAAGTGTGTGTTAAGTCGACTCAAAACAAATTTGTACCTTGAGGCCGCTCCATGCAGCGGATTCGCTGATGAGCGACTTAGTCGCAGTCGCAGAGGCGGCCTGCAAGAGGATCCAAAAATGGAAGAGGAACCATGAGAATAAGACCAGTCCGGGACAAGGTGTCAGAGTGGCTGCAGTTTTGAGAAGACCACCCTCGGGATTCCAGTCTTGAAACTCCTAAAAACGAGATGCACGCGATCCGGCTGGGCCAAAAGGCGCAGCTGATGTCGCGAGACAAAGAAAGAGGCGCGGCTGACTGGTCCTAACATAATAAGAGAGGCTGGAAGTTTTGAATTCCGAAACGAAGCGAAAGCGTACCATGGTAGGCTTGGGGGTGGGTTTGAGCTCGCTTGGACTGAGATCTGGCTTTAGTCGAGCTTCGTTGGCAGCCTGCGAGGTAGAAGACGGAGACAAGATGCATTGTTGAGCTGATTTTCCACGTTTTTTGTAGGATATGTTTGTAACATCCCCAAGACTGGATTGAACTTGCAGAATGTGGTCCTCTGCGATATGATGATGGAGGGAAGCGAACCGAGGATATACACAAGTTTATGGCCGGGTCCAGAGTGAAGTCCTTCGGTCCTCTCTCATTCGCTACGGGTAACGGCGAACACGAATCATCGAACTCACCGCTCAGTTTCCAGCTTCTCGTTAAGTTCCAGACCTCGACAGCTGGCATATGTACAAAATGCAGCATTTTAAGTCGCTGCTCTTGTCAAATATTTCGGTGGACTTGGGAGCGATACGAAGCCCACGAGCGTCTATGACAAGTCCGAGTTCCAAAACGCAAATCTTACGAGAATGTCGGAGCACCAACTTACCTCGAGAGATGGCTAAAGAAGGTGAAAATGAGCAGCTTCGCTTGTTGTGCGATTCGTTCTGTAAATTTCTCAAAACCGAGTTTCGCCGGACCCACCTGGAAAGATGGCTCTTGCGAGCGAATTCGAGCAGCTTCGCGCCTGATGACAAGAACGCGACGCTGATATGAAAAGCTGCTAAAAGCTCGACTGAAGCAGAATGGATACGCAAGACCAGCCCGCAGCAGAAGTAATCTGAGCGGCAATATCTATGGCTTCTCAGATTTCAGCTTGCTTCAGTGGAGAAATCAGGGAGACTTGGAGGCTGTGGGGAAGAAATGTGACCAGACCAGACCGAGGGAGGGACAGCTGGAGAGGCGAAATGCTGACGAGGATCAACGGCAGCACACCAGCAGCGTTTGATTGGTCTGAACACAGCAGCAGCTTCGGATTGGTCAGAACTGGAAATTGTGATGGGTTACAATACGTTTGATTCGTCAACGAAAGCCGACAGAGGCAGGGCAAGTGTACCATGTGTCACGTTCTTAGACGTTGCGAACAAGCGTATGCCCGAGCAATGGATGTTGACGAAGTTCGTTTGAGAATCGTTCTCTAGCCGGAATTTGCTGAAACAGGCGTAGATCTCAGCTGATGACGACTTTTCCGGCTACACAATGAGATGAGCAGAACACAGGCAATCTACGTATAGGCGTGTCATGCTTGGTGAACTTTCGGTTCATTCAAAGCGGTTCACTACGATATTGTGTTTTCTAAAGCGGTTTGTCCTCTTCACCGCTCTGAACCGCTACATACCAGCCTAAACAGTGATTCATGAGCTGTAAGCTCCCTCGCCATGACACGCCCTAATTGTTCGTCTAGCAGGGTTCAACACGTTACAAAGCGTTGAGCAACGGCTGTTTATGCCTTCCAATCCTTTTGACCGTTGCGCACCAGACTGAATCCTACCACACGAACACTTGATCCCCCGCTGAACGCTTGAAGAGCAGAGACAGTGATATGAATTGTTGTTACGGGTGCAATGAGGGCGTGTCCAGTTCGTTCATTTCGGGATTTTTCGTGCCAACGCACGTATCGAGTTTAAAAAATGACTACCGTACCTAGAAACGAGTGCATTGTGAGTGGAGTCCAGCCTTCCTGTAATTTCAGAAGCGCGGACACATTCCCCGCCACACGAATCAGCAGTGCTCTGACCACGTTGAAAACGAGGTAACAGTTTCCCTCGTCAATCATAGCTTGAAATTTTTTGTGCAGGCGCAGGGGGCGCTGGCGAGTAGAGCGAAAAACTGACGAAATCTTGCAAGCGATGCAAGGGAAACGAACTGTAGTGGCCAGGACGCGGTGCTGTACCCTTGTTCGCGTCCCTGCTGATTCCAGTAACGTGAGTCAGACTACTCTAGGTACGTGCATGGGGCGTGCCGTCTTGCGAACAGAAGCTGATTGTGTCCGCTGGACACGTTCAATAAAGGGTTACCACAAAAAATGTGGTAACTGAGGGGGTTTACGAACAGTAAATGTACGAGCTGGACCCCCCCTGAATAGAAGTAGCGAGAATTGCACTAAGGGTGCGTCAGATCCGTTGGCCGGATCAATCCGGCCGGCCGGATCTAGCGAAGGTTACACATTCACGACATTCGTAAGGTATTTCGTTAATTTCACACAATCCGGCCACTTGCTAAAATTTTGATGGCCGGTTTGATGGCCGGTTTAGCATTCGACAACTTTTCCGACGTGCAAACGAATCGAGAGTCGACCACTTTGTCGACTCATCAGCGCTACAGTACCTATGCGACTTGGCCAACATACCCAAGCGACTCAACGTGTCACAAGGACGACTCGCACGGCGCTTTCAGCGCCGTTGAACATGACCGGAACACTTGGTAATCTCTCTCGTCAGCTAAGTCAAGGAGCAAGGGCACCATGACACCGACTGCAGCAACCAAGGGGTGAGCACAACGTGAGTGAGTCCGATTGCTAAACGTCGTGCCCATCTGGGTGTGAAAGGATCCGCCATGTTGGATAATGGCTAGAGTGTAGGGACGTTCCGGTTTTTGTATGCTCTCGTCACACTCAGCTCGGGTAGACGACACGATCTCGCCGAGCCGGTTTGTAAATGGGGCCGCAGCTCACATCTTGACTCCCTGATCGTAGTGTGCACAATCGCGGTTGTGTCACTTCAGTAACAATACGTGCGACTCCGTCGCACAATCCGGCCAACTGTAAGACCTGTAAATTTGACACTTCTGCAAACCGGCCGGCCTGTAAATCGGCCACCAAATCTGTCAGATTTCAACACCTTGTAAATGTGGCTGGATGGTGGTTGGTTTAGCATTCGACCATTCTGTCGACTTTGGCGAAAAAGGAGTCGACCAAAAGGGCGACAAATTTGCAGCCAAATCACATTGTAGCGGATCTGACGCACCCTAAGGTGTCAAATGAGTACAAAATTAGCTATTACGAGTGCAATTGAGTGAGCGAGCGAGAATTGCACTATCGAAGCAAGAGTACAATTAGCGAAGGCATGAGCGAAGAATATATAGCGAAACTATAGTGGTAACGGTAATGGACTCTGGTTGTCGTGTGACGGGCCTGGGACTGAGGTTGGGAAAGGTATCAAAGCGGAGGCCCAGAGCGCGGGTTATTCGCCGAGCCGTGAGGTCGGGGTGCGACGTGCGAAGGTGGCGGGAGGATTGTCGATGCGAGAGTTGCGAGTGGTAACAGTGCTGACTATGGTGCTACTACAGTGCTGTACGCGCTGAGCGGGGACGCGAAGTAAGGGAAAGGGATTTTCCCTACACTACCCCTCCCCCCCCCCCTTAAGGAGGTCGTCCGTTACGAAAGTGCGTGTACATCCTCGAAGTTTTGGCTGCGCAGATACTCGGTGAGGACGGGGTGGTTTTCAATTCTGTCCAGGGGAACCCAGTTGTCTTTGGTGGGTGTATGGTCTTTCCAGCGGAGCAAGAACTCGATCCTTCAGGCTCCTCGAGGGTCGCGAACTCTGTGACTCAGAATCTTCTCGGGGGTGATGATTGGTTTAGCCGGCGGTCGTGTCATGCTGGCTGGACGATTTCGTGGGAGTTGGCTTGTGGACGGGACGTAGGGGCGAAGCAGGCTGACGTGGAACGAGGGGCTGACGTACCAGTCAGCGGGGAGGAGGAGGTGGGCGGTGTCAGAGGTCCACTGGTGATCTCCGATTGATCCTAGGGAAGGGTTACAGACACGTTTGCCTTGGGGGTTATGGGCGCACTTATCCGCTACACAAACAAGCCCTTTTATCCCAGTGGTTAGTGGTTGGGATTCTGACATGGTATCAGAGCGGTCTCGGGTTCGATTCTCGGTGTATGCACATGTAGGCCGTTGCCGCTCTGCTTAGTCCTGGGCCTCCCAGTGTGGGGGGGTGTCAGTAGATCTGCACTGTGGATGCCCGATTGATCTTGGAGAGGGTTACAGGCGCGTTCGCCTGGGGGGTTATGGACACAATGACCCGCTACTGAAACAAGCCCTTTTATCCCAATGGTCTAGTGGTTGGGATTCTGACATGGTATCAGAGCGAAGGTCTCGGGTTCGAATCCCAGTGTATGCACTTCGGACATCCCAGTGCGGGGGGGTATCAGAGGTCCACTGGTGATCCCCGATTGATCCTAGGGAAGGGTTACAGGCACGTTGGCATGGGGGGTTATGGGCGCACTGACCCGCTATTTAACAAGCCTTTTTATCCCAATGGTCTAGTGGTTGGGATTCTGACATGTTATTAGAGCAAAGGTCTCAGGTTCGAATCCTAGTGTGTGCACTTCGGGTATCCCAGTGCGGGGGGGCGTCAAAGGTCCACTGGCGATTCCCGATTGATCCTA